GAGTAATTCGAATTTCGGGTAGCTCGATTCGAGTTTTCGGATAACTCGCAGCTCGGTGCATACCTAATCAGGAAACAAACACTTTAATTTCGAGTAGCTCGAATTTCGAGTAGCTCGAATTTCGAGTAGCTCGAATTTCGGGTAGCTCGAATTTCGGGTAGCTCGAATTTCGAGTAGCTCGATTCGAGTTTTCGGGTAACTCGAAGCTCGGTGCATACCTAGACATAATCCAATGATATTTTTAAATCTAATTTTTACGTTTCAACGCCTTTCTAAAAGAACAAGTTGTCTCATGTTTAATCATTACTAATGGTTACTTCCCTAAGTATTATACACGATTCCACGAAGAGAAAAACTTATAAAATACTTTTAAGTGGAAAGTTGAGAAGCAGATAGCAATATGTCCGAAGTCTGTACAGATTCTACTTTTTTCATTCTGTTACAATCTTTTTTTCTCATTTTTAAAAAAAACGTCGAAACGCATTTCCTCAACAATTGAAGAACAACCTAAAAGAGTACCTAAAAGAAAAAATAAACTCTAACGTTTAAATGGAGACAACAAATTTTAATATTCCAAAAGAGATATCAACATCAAATGTTCCAATTGAGATAATAAAATTAGACAAAATAGCAAATTCAAAAGAGATAATAAATTTTAATTAAAATAACAGAACAAATAAAATAATATATGTAGCTTTTGTACACGGTGTATAATACAGATGTGCAACCCGATCCGTACCCGACCCGAAGGTTAAGTATGGGTTCTATTTCTTTTAATTTACCCGAAAACCGGAAGATTCTAGTTGAAAACCCACATAATTTTAGTGAAAAAAATACAGGAATTTAGCCAAAATACATGAAGGTTTAAAAAAGAATTACTTGAGAACGTAATGATAACTTGACATCTTCAGCCGAAAAACAAAAAGGAGAAAATTTTTAGCCATAAGTCGGATACGTGTACAAAGTTGCCGGGTCGGATCGGGTACGGGTACGAAAATGGTACTCGTACACATCTCGAGTGTATAACTACGCATGTACAAACTCTCGCACATTTTTTTCAGGCACCATCTCCTTTATCTTTTTTTGTTTTTATTTTTCTAAAACGATAGTTGTTATAAACTGCACAATGTTTCCCTTGCTGCGTTGTAGAAATTATAACTTTTGAAAAGGTCATTGTAATAATATTGATATGATAGGGAAGTTGATGTGAGAAGTTGTCTTTCAACATAATGTTAAGCTCCATTTTTATAACGTTGTTCGATGTCGCTTTCGAATCAATTTATCAAGTGGATGCGTAATTATACACCGTGTACAAAAGTCACATATATTGTTTTAGTTTATTATCTCTTCTGGGTACGCTCAATTTATTGTCGCATATGGAGGTGAGCCTATATATGTGAGGAAAAAACGACGACTTGTTTTTAGACAAGAAACAGGAAAAGCTTGTTCAATCAAGCAGAAATTAAAAAAACCACGAACAAAGCGTTCCACCCTAAAAATATTTGTTTACCTTTTTTAATACAAAATAAAACTTTTGCGTTAAGACAAATCCCGTAAAAAATTTAATAATTCGAATACTTGCTCTACTGTCGATATTTTATCAAATTTTTTCACTTTCCAACAAACTTTTAGTGATTTTTATTGATTTTTCAGCCATTTTTTCGAAATCGACAGAAAATAAGAAAAACTAATCGGAGAAGAGCGTAAAAGAGAGGATCATCTGAAAAAGGAGGGAAAACGGAGGAATATGGCTCATTTATTCATTAAATATTCTTTATTAACTGTAGCACAAATCGGAAAAGTTCACGTTTTCTATTATTGCGCAAAATATCATGCTAAGAAAATAAATATTTAATTATTTAAGTTCCGAATGAATTTCAAACCTGGTTTTCACATGTGTAGAGAATTATTGTATGTATAGAACAATGCATTAAAAGACCCCTCGACATCATTTTCTTTCACAATATGCAGTTTAGAATTTGATTAATACAAGAAAGTATTTCTTCTAGAAGAATCGATTGATGTTAGTACACCTGAGCTGTTATTCAGTTTAGTAATAATTTCAATATCTCTTATCATCGGTTGGATTTTAAATTGTTTAAGATGCCGCTTCAATAACTGATGTATCATTAGTAAAACTTGAGTAAAATTTATTTAAGTAATTATATAAAAAATTTTTTAAAAAAAATGAAAGACAAAGAAGAGCGTGTCACGCTAATTGAAATTATTATATTAACACAATGAACTTGTCCAATCGCAAATTTTAAGAGTTGGATTGAATTTAGTTGGTACAGGACAATTCATGGGAGAAACTAAATTATTTGAACACACGTAGTATTTTGTACAATCTTTTAGATTTGGAAATGAACCGAATCGTTCTGGACAGACAAAAATACCATCTAAAACAAATGGATATCATATGAATGCTTTTTCAACAATTTCTTTCATTTTGACTATACGCACCCTGTGGAGTGAAATTAGACACATTGACTTTTGTAGTTCCCGTGATTGATGAGAATTGGTTATTCGAAATGCTTCTACATGGCTACAACAAAAAGAACAAACTTTTTTACTAAGTGTGAGAACGTAACCATCGTACTTACGAAATCTGATTCTATACAAGCTTTAGCAGCTGGAGAAAAAAACATATTACTCGGACATTGAAGATGAGCAACTGGTTTCGATGATTTCGTTAAACAAACATAATAAAATCGACAATCGAGTATATCTGGTATGAGATCTTCTTTTCCTGAACATAAATTGATACCAGGCTGAGTTGTCGTTGTTGTTGTTGCTGTTGTTTGAACATTTTCAGTTGGATGGGTTACTTCTGATAAAATATTGAATACCGTTGATGTTATAGGATATTTGCCTTGCTGACAAAATTGTCCACTAAAATCATCTAAATCCATTGGATAAATGAGAGCACCACTCAATTTATTTTCTCTAATATAACGTGCTTTTAATGCAACAGTTCCATTTAAATAGTGAGAATTAAAACTAATTGTATCAGTATTATCATACGTCACCCAATTATCGTCTTTGTGAGCAAATAATGCTAGTTTCTGACCACTTAATACCTGCTGCCAACCTTGTTCAATTATTCTGTCACAAATCTATATATACAAGAAGACAGACGATATTATACGCATGAGGTATTTGTGCTATCACAACAAACCTCATAATAAGCCAACTTGCCCAATGTATGAGTATATTGTCCTGGTTCACCTGCCGATATAACTCTATCTCCAAAATTAAACTTCGATGAATCAGCTAGCTTATACGATATTCCATAAGTCGGTATTGATAAAATCAATTTTTCTCTCGAAAGACCACTTGATAAGAGCAATTTGACCATAGATTCCTAGAAGAGAATGTTTCATTAATAATATCATTTGTTAATTTTTGAAAACTATACCATTGTCATTGATGTATCAGATCTGTCACTTGACGATAATGAGGTAATTCCATTCCATGCTTCTGCAACTGTGGCGTTCATAACGTCAGAATAATCAACAGGCAATACGATAAGATAATCGATATACCTTAAAAATGCGTTTGGGTATACCAATCAAGATTTTGAATTACTTTTTATCTATCAACTTACGCTTGTAAACTCAATACTTGAGTGAAAATACTGGCAGCTGACTCTTTGCTAATTGATGTTGCTACTGACATCATGAGCAACAAATTTTGATCAACAAAGGACTTCCTTAAGGCCTATAATAGAAGTTCACTCAATTTTATCCGAAAAGAATGTTTACAACAATCACATACTTTGATTATAATTTGATTATCAGCAAAATTCGACCATTTTATAATGAGTCCATCGAAACCATATTTTTGTACATAATTAGTAGCCGAGCTGACAAATAACTCAAGATCTGTTATCATTTGATAATCATCACTCATTGATACGATCAGTTTCAAAAATGGATTTGTCTGTTTTAATTGAACAATCTTTGTGTAGAACTCTTGATCATTCGGTACTAATAAATTTTGATCGAGTTGAACAGATTCAATAACTAGATGAGTACAAAGGTGGGCATTCACATCAGCGGGTGAAAATTTGCCTGGTCCATAATTTTCCTGTGATGCACTCGTTATCGCACAGAAAACATTTGCTGAGGTTGCTAAATAAATCCGATGATTAGTCGTAGAAATACGCATAAGATGGAAAACCTACTTAATTCTTTTTTTGGTATTTGATTTGGTTTTTTGATAGTTTTAACTGTGTTTCCCATTAGCGTGTCGTAAACCTGGCGAACAAGCGGATATTTGCCTTGTTTGCAGTAATCACCTGTGTAATCATCCATATCCAACGACACCAAACTTACTCCAGCCAAATTTTGAAGTTTTGAATATTCCGTCTGAGAAAAAATTTTAAAATTTTTATTTAGGACAACCGTAGAATACATTTTTCGGTCTGCACATTTACTTTTAAACGAAGACTATTCATATCTTCATAGCTGACCCATTGACCATCGTTGCTATATGCAAATGGAGAACGTGTTTGTGGACTATAAGACCGTTTCCAATTTTGAGTACGTAATTTTTGACAAATCTTTGAAATAAAATTAATCAGTCCGTGCAGAAATTTATAGGATGAGATAAGCTTACCTCGTCATAGGAAAGTAGACCCCGTTTATTCAAGTTTTGTCCAGACTTTCCAGGACCAGTAGTCATCGATCCAATTTGTGTTAGAGTTGGATTTGACAATGTAAATGACTTTCCAAATAACGGTAAACCAAGAGATATTTTGTCTGACGGCATACCATTCATTATCCAGTATTGTACAGTCCAGTGCTAAAAATAGATTATCGTAGTGATAAGTTTTCTGGTTTTCTGAATGCTATAGTAATAAATACTGACAATGTTTTGATATCGATTAGAGCCAATTTGGTCAGCAGTAGCGTACAATGGACTAATTAAACTGACTATCGAACGCGCTGACGAAGTAAAACCAAATGACATCAAATTGATAAAATTCACGTATCTAATAACAGTAAATGTGAAGAAAATATCTATTCCGTATTGATCAAGCACAGAATAACGTCTTTGAACAAATTCTTACTTTGACATTTCAAACGCTTCATATGCCCCATCAATAAGAGCTTTATCTGGACTAACGCTAACTGTTAATAACCATTCGAGACGATCAAAACTTTCTCTCAATTCCTGAAATGCAAAGATACTATCAGTCTCTAGAACTTAGAACTCTAGTTCACAATTCAGAGAGTTTACTTTAAGCCAGATATTTAATAAGTTTTTATCATTTGATCTAAGAAGATTAATACTCTCCGATGGTATTCGCCAATCAATATCTAAAGAGTATTTAACGGTATTTAATGGTCATTCAAGAAAATATACTGATTTCGTTACCTAAACCATCAAATTGATATGTTAATAAAAATTCCGTTGCTTCTTCATTGAATGATTGACGTTGTTGTGGATTACGAATAAGATTCAAGAAATCCGGAGTCCATTTACCAAGCGCGAGTACAATTTTTAAAGCTGGATTTGTATTTTTTAATCTTTTCAATTGGAGAAGGATGCCTATATGTGAAGCTTAGTTATGATAATGATAAGTGATGTACTGTTTTCTCTAATACCTTCATCATCCTTCTTTGAAACGACTAGTTGGTTATTCACAATTCTTCCATAAGCAAATGCAATATGTGTACAAAGCGTGGAGTCAATATCTTCCAACAGAAGACGTTCAGCAGTATAGTAACACATTAGTACAGGACCTGTTGTCAAAATAGTTTTAATTTGAACATCTGAGTATTAAATTGAAAATAAAAACGATGTTACCGTTTCGAGCAGAAGCGGGTTGATTCGGATTTGTATCAACAGAATCTACTGGTTCTGATGAAGCTGGTGCTATTGTCGGTAAAGTCGTATCGATATCGATGCCAGGTGTTGCTATAGTAATTGGTTGTACAACAACCGGCGTTACGGATGATTTGAAAGTATCAATGACAATATTCATCAGTGGATATTTCCCTTTATTACAAAATGTTCCACTAAAATCATCCAGATCTGGAGCCCAAAACATAGCTCCTGAAAGCCCCATAGCCATGATATAGTTTGCCTATAATAGAGAGAACGATGTTGCTACTCTTAATTCCATAAGTTTGTTCTGTACAAAAAATTCAAAAACATGATTTTTCTTACTCGTATTTTAATTGTATCCACATCATCATAGCCCACCCAGTTTTGATCACCGTAGGCGTACATTGACTTCTGTACACTATCATACACTTTTGTCCAGCCATTGTTTAATTTTTCACAAATCTTAAACAATGTTTCATGTTATAGTAAACGAGTGTCATTTATTATGAATAAACCTACTTCATAATAAGATAAAAATCCGGCTTCACCCGTATATTTTCCTGCATCACCCGGACCCGAACTCGATGCACCGATCGAAGTTTGTGTGGAGTTTAATTTGAATGTTCTTCCATAAGTAGCCAATCCCATAACTATTTTTTCTTTCGGCATACCATTTGCCATCCAATATCGTACAGCCCAATCCTGTACAAACACACTTTTTAATTTAGAATACCTCAAATAGCACATGCTGAAAAGCCTTACCGCATTGAGTGTCGCTGCGTATCCAGTTTCTTCAGGTCGCGCATACAATGCTGTATGAAGACCAGTGGTGAATTCCCACGAGCCACCGTGTAGATCATACGTCATAAGATTAATAAAATCTAAATATCTATCAAAAGAAAAATGGGAGTGTGCGACTATCAAAATATTTCCAGTTTCTTACTTCGCCATATTTTCTATTTCATAAGCCGCCAATATCGTACTTTGTCCAGCTCCAACAGCTGCGGTGAGTAACAGATTATATTGTGAGAATTCTCGTTTTAATTCCTACAATAAAAATTAAAAGTTAACTACATTCTCGTAACTATCAAACTAAATCTAACTGAAATCTTACTTTCAACAAGGTAATAAATAAAGCTTTGTCTCCGGGTCGACTACCATCTCTACTACCCGGATATTCCCAGTCAATATCCAGACCATCAAAATTGTGTTGACGAATAAACTGGGATGCTTGTGTAACAAATGCTTGTCTCAAAGATGTATCTGACACCATGTTACTGAATTCACCACTACCAAAATTCCACCCACCAACAGCCAAAGATACTTTTAGTGAAGGATTGTTCGTTTTCAGTGCAATTAATCGAGAGTACATGCCTAAAAATATTTCATGCATCATTTTTGCAGTAATTTCAATATGCGGCTATACCTTTACTCCATTCCGTATCTTCATCGTTCCACTCGTACGAAGCAAGTTGAGAATTTTTTAATACGGCAAATGCAAAAATTATATTCGTACATAATGAAACATCTAAATTATCTGGTACAAATTTTCCAATACCGGGTCGGTATTGTGCCCAATTCCTTGAAATTATAAGACAATGTTAATTATGCTTAAAGAACGTGTTATGATATAGCATACGTGTAGTAACAAACAATTCTTGATGGCTTTGTGGGAGTATTAGTGCCACTTGGTATAGAGAAAGAAGCTGGTGTTGACGTTGTAGTAGATGGAACCGGAAGTGGGGGTCTAGATGGTAATGATAGACTATTACCACGTATTGATTTAATAGCCGTATTAATCAACGGATATTTTCCTTGGTTACAGAAACTACCAGAAAAATCATCTAAATCCTAAAATGAAAGTTATTTTAAATCTTACGTAGTTCATATCAAGAATAAACAGCTCTTCTTACTAAAGCCCAGAACATTAGTCCTTTAAGACCCATTTTTTGAGCATATTGTGCCTGAAAAGAGATATAAAGTACATTAACTAGAAAAGTTGTAGATAAAAGGGGTGATTTATAAACGCAGTACAATCATAGGTGTGAATCGGAAGAAATTATTCGAAAAACAGCATGAGCAAGTTGAAATTAGTAAGAAAATGACTGGACTTGTTAACTAGTTTCTTAAAGTACTTTTAGTACGTCGTTCGGATAATGAGTGTGCTCCAGAACATGTAGAATAAAAAATCAAGTTTTGATTCTAAACGCTCGAGTGTTGATAATTGCCTAACTGTCTACTATCAGAAAGTGAATTTAAATCATATTCATAGGATAAATTAGTAAAAATTTGAAATTTTTATTGATGATATTATTAAAGTGTGATAAATAGCCATGAGCGGATACACAGGTACGCCTTTAGCACATAGAATAATTCCTTTAGTACAATATGCACGTACTTTGTAAGCAATTGTATACATATCATCATAGCCAACCCAGTCACTATTTTTATAAGCATAATTTCCTTTTGATTCTTCGTCATAGACAGATGTCCAGCCTTGTTGTAATTTCTGACATATTTCATAATAAGACAGAAAACCAGCTTCACCGGTAAACTGTCCCGCTGCTCCGGCACCATTGGCTGGTGCCCCAATATCGTGTTGGCTCGGACTACTGAGACGAAACGTTCGACCGTACAACGCCATACCCATATTAATTTTTGATGGTGAACAACCGTTGCTTATCCAATATTGAATAACCCAGTCCTTAAATGAAAAACAGCAATTATCGGACTATAACAGGAATGAACAGATCTTTACCGTATTGAGTATTTTGTCCGCGCCAGTTTCACTACTTCGGCCAAACAATGGAGAATTAATACCTGTTTTTGTCTCCCATGAACTAGAAATAAAGAAATATAAATCTCTCTTCGTTGTTAATTCGTAATTTTCTCTCGTACCCATGTAAATCGTAAGCCATTATATTAACTAAATCTAAGAGGTTACAGACATTGGATATTTCATAGCCGGCATCAATAGTCGACTTTCCAGCTGCCAGAGCAGCGCTCAACAACAAACCATATGGTTGAAAGGCTCTTTTCAATTCTTGAAGTAGTGTTGTATAAAAAACTTTATCAGTTGGTCGTGAACCATCTCGTGAGCCAGGATATTCCCAATCGAGGTCGAGGCCATCAAATTTGTGCATTTGAAGATAGATAACGGCTGTTCTCACAAACGTATTTCTCGATGTTGTATTTTGTACCATATCCGAAAATTTTCCAGATCCATGATTCCATCCTCCGACACCCAATAACACTTTTAACGATGGATTCTGTTTTTTTAAGGCCATCATACGTGACATCATTCCCGTGGACCATTCACTATCTTCATCATTCCATTCATAAGCGGCTATTACTCCATCTTTTATTTGACCAAATGCGTAGATGATATGTGTACACAATGTTGGATCAATATTTTCTGGATAAAATTTTCCTGCACCATTTCGATATTGACTCCAGTTTGTATAATAGCAAATGATATTGACTTGATCTGTAAAAATAACAAATATACTTATTGAATAACGTAACAGTAAATGCCGAAGAATACTGATGACCAACTTCATTCCACTGAAAAACGTCCTGGTTCTGCAGCTTAAAGTGATGTATCGCGGAAAAATTACCTGATTGATCAGCTTGTGACGTTCTTATATTCGAAACCATACTTTGTTTTGATTCTGGATAGGTCGATGTTAACCATTGCAACCACGATGCTGGAACTTCACTGGATGCTGTTGACGTCAGATGTTGTGATTTTATTGATGAACCTGAACCATGTGTCGAATGTTCAATATTTCCTGATGGCGGACTGAATACGGCATGATTAAGAGTATGTATAGCCGGTCGTAAAATTTTGACTAAGGTTACAATTTCCGTAGGATCTCTTGCTGTTCCTGTTTGGTTTTGCGATTGACTGGAACTAACTTTAATTTCAAGTTTTGCACAATAAGATTGTTCAGCTATTTTTACTATTATGCTACATGTTGATTCACTACTTGTCGTTGAATTTTCAATTTCAATAAACTAGAAGAATAAGTAACCTACTGCGAGCATAAATATTAAAGATAATGATGACTTACCTTAAAAATATTAATTTCTGAATTATCCACTAATTTCAGTACTTTTTTACCACTATCCTCAGTATCTACGTGTACTGAAGCAGTATTATTTCTTGCTGTTAACAATTGACCTTGATTAAATTTCGTTGTATTTTCTGAATGTCGATGAACACTCTCGTTGCGTTTTTGAAATGATATGAAAATATTATCGTGCATGTGCTCATTCTCTTTCCCAAATGATTTTCGAATTGTTGTATTTAAAACAATAGCTGGTCCTTGTGCTAATATGTCATATAAAATATCTTTCACCGTGTCAACAACCATTTGAACTTCGCCTTTCTTCAATTGACTTGTTGTAGCTAACGTCAAACCATGATCATCTTCAATCGTATGAACAATACGAGCGACAACATTAGATGAAGACGAAGGTAAATCTGTACTGAAATTCGATAAATGAGATTCAACTAAATGATAAAGTTTTTCCATTGTTTGATTAAATAAATGTTCGGTGTTATTACTTATAACAACAGCTAAATGGAAAGAATAAGGATTATAAAGGAGGGAGCCGCATAAGGTTGATAATCGGTTCGCTTCATTTTTTGTCTAAAACCGATTCTGTAAACACTAGAAAACTATTATCAGTCGGTAAAGGTGTTTTCTCATGTTTCTTTCCCCATAAGCGACAAAGTAAATATATCATCGGATAACCCCCTTAGGGGCTAGACTTCTCTACAGAATGTGTGTGACATTACGGTTAACAGCAGTGTTTTGATAGCAGTAGGGCGCTTAGAATAGTCCTACGGATACAATATAGTAGACAGTCCTTGTGTGGCTCCTTTTCTCCCAAACAAAACATACATTTTTCTATTATGAATCATTTTGGAGCTCATGAAATTGTCTACAAACTGACAAGTTCAGAATTTCAAGATCGGTAGGATCAGTCCTAGAAAATGGACCAGAAGTAAAGCGACTAGGGAAAAAATGCGACATAATTCCAGTTTTTACTATTTCTTACACTAGTAAAGAAACAAGCACATTTTGTGTCATATACCATTTTAAAGCTCGTCGAATTTTCTACAAAGTAAGCTACGTATGGTATCTGGACCAGTAGGTTAGCCTTTGTAGTTTTAGCCGTGGCATTTTTATTGGAAGCCCCTAGACTGGTATTAAATAACCTCGGATATCCTCTAAAGTAAAACAAGGTTATCGACCATACTGAATCTTGTGGTAATGTTATTTTCAGGAAAAGGTGGGGAAACCTAATGAAACTGAATTTTGGGGAAAATCCACCCAATTCAGCTATAACTAACTATACAAAACTAAAATATCTCACTCAAAACCCAACCAAACCGCTTAGAACTCTCAGGATATGGTCAAAAGAGTAGATTCAATAGTTCCAAAACAACTCTAAAATAATAAAAAAATAGACGCTTTTACTTTTCTAACTCTATCGACTTGTAAATCAAGGAAAAGGAAGTATGTTGTGAGAGTTCCAAGCGGTTTGGTTGGATTTTGAGTGAGATATTTTACTTTTGTATAGTTATAACTGAATTGGTGGATTTTCCCCAAAATTCAGTTTCACTAGGTCTCCCCACCTTACTGATCAAGATATCATACATAGCTTACTTTGTAGAAAATTCGGCGAGCTTTAAAATGGTATATGACACAAAATGTACTTGTTTCTTTACTAGTGTAAGAAATAGTAAAAACTGGAATTATGTCGCATTTTTTCCCTAGTCGCTTTACTTCTGGTCCATTTTCTAGGACTGATCCCACCGATCTTGAAATTCTGAACTTGTCAGTTTGTAGACAATTTCATGAGCTCCAAAATGATTCATAATAGAAAAAGTATTCATTAAAATTAAATTTGATCTGGTCTCGTATTTATATCGACTTTTCAAAAATGGTTAACTGTTGTCTCACATTCTGTAGAGAAGCCTAGGGGCTATCCGATGATATATTTACTTTGTCGCTTACGGGAAAGAAACATGAGAAAACACCTTTACCGACTGATAATAGTTTTCTACTGTTTACAGAATCGGTTTTAGACAAAAAATGAAGTGGATCGATTATCAACCCTATGCGGCCCCCTCGTTTGTACAAGAAGAGCATTTGCGCGAAAACATGTGTTACGCTGGTTGTAACATTCAAAAGTTTCAGAATTATGCTAAATCGAATACCCTTTAAAAAGTAAAATTCTCGCTTACTTTTCGATTCAATCAGTTTTAATTTTTCACTCGTATCATCAACGGTCGTATTTGATGTCGATTGTGTCGAGTTCTGGTTTGCTTTTTCTGAGACTCCAAACTCAACCGACATATTATTATTCGTTCCCTGGATTTCAGAACTAATATTCAGTTGGGTATGACCGACTGGTGTTACCATTTCATGTTTATGAATGCTGTTGTAATTTTTTTCTGTCATTGTATTATTTTGTTCAGTCAATGTTACATTCAAAGACAAACTACTATCATTTTTTGTAAAAGCTATTTTTGGGTGCGTTAAATCGATTGAGGTAGATGTGAGTTTTCCACTACTATTGTCACCTTTCTGCAGTTGATTAACGGTAACACTCGTCGAGATCGATTCAGATGCGTTTTTTGCATTACTGGTGATTACTGATGAGAATTCAGTGTGGAAATTTGAGTTGTTCGAGTTTGCAGATGATGCTTCAATCGCAACATTATCAGTAATTGTGGCGTGTGCATCAGAACGATTTTGGCTTGCTGGATTTGTAGCATTATTTTCGCTTAAATTAATTGTAATTGTTTGTGGGAGCGAGCTCTTAGATGATTCTGATTCATCTTTCGATGAACTTGTTGTGTTGCTACCGGTTGTCGTTTCATTTTGAACTGGAGTGGATAATAAAACAGATTGATTATTTGCTGATAATGATGTATCAGCAGTGATTTGTAATTGTGTTATTTTGGTACTGTTACTCAATTCTTTCGCAGAAGGTATACTGTTTTCAGATCCATTAATCGCTTGTTCATCGGCAACTACTGTGATAACTTTCGTAGACAGAAATATGATTAGGAAAATGGCAGTCCTGAAAAACAACGCATATAGAATGAAGCCATTTAATGAAAAGAGTCTTCGATGAATTCTGACGTTATTATTTCACTTCAGACGTGCAGCTCTCCTTCAAGCTCGAGCAAAGATAAGTCATGCCGTAATACGCATTGTATCTGTGTTATTCAAGTACTTCACAACTCTATATGAGTATTACGTAGATATTTTCTTGCATTCCAAACATATCAGAAAGAGAAGATATACGTACGTTCGAATCATGATCATATTGTAAAATAAACAATATTTGTGTTCATTGATCAATTAAGGTCGTTGAGTCTTTACACTATGTATTCGAAAAAACAGAAAACTTTCAACATCTGCTGACTCCACAGTGTAACGGAAATTAACAGCCCTAGTGAATGCACTTGCACATAGGTACCCTCTTTTACGAGAATGTCATAGGTGCGCGCAAGTAAAATATTACTTAGCGGGTACGTAAACGGCCAGCCATTTTAGGTGATCGTGTGAAAATCAAAAACGCACGTCATTCTTGTAAACATATGTTTTTCTTTTATGTTTGAACGCGAAACAAAACGGTGAACGGAAAAAAATTCGGTACCTATAGTGCGTCCAGCGCAAGTAATTGGCTACCTCTCAAGTAATATTTGCTTGAAAAAAATTCAAGAACCTATGATATTCATGTAGCTGGGTACTCGCATAGCTACTAAGAAAAATACAAGTACTCGGATATCTATCGTCAAGTACATTCACTAGGACCTTCCTCAGTCACTTTATTTCTTAACACCGCTAATTAGAATCTGACTGCACAAATTTTAAAGTGAGTAGAAGAAGTGAACCGTATCCAGAAAGATAGAAAAAGTTCATAGAGAGTTCAGGAAAAATGTATAGTGCAATAGTTAGACGAGCAGTGAAGCGAGGCAAGAGATCCTAAACTGTGGAAAAGACGAGATATGTAGCAGGCGAGTCAAACGAGAGATCAGTAGATATATGCAACGAAATGAATCAATAAAGCAAAAACGGCTGAGAAGACAATGGCAAAATAGTATTATTCTTCACAGACGGCTACTAAAAGTTTTTTTTTTCTATAGATGTGCCTACACCAGCACACATAACATATTGTTCACCTTGTTCTTTTGAATGATGACAAACAGACGGATAGTACTGAATATTCATAAATACTGAATGAATTTTACTGTTTATCAAAATACTGACCAATAGCACATGTTATTTCGTTTGAATAAACAGTAAAATTCATTTAGTACTATCCGTCTGTTTGTTATCGTCCAAAAGAACAAGGTGAACAACATGTGCTAAGTACGGGTGTAGGCACATATATATGGAAAAAGAAAATACTTTTAGCAGCCGATGAATATTTAAAATTTTTTTTTCGAATACATAATGTGACGACCCATAACCTTATTTTTGAAGCAGGTTGTTGTACATGATCAGTCTACTTTAGGTTATGAAAAATATGTAAATTCAACACTTTTACATGCTCAACTCGTCAGAGGTGAATGAACCGCGAGAAAAATTGCGAGGTTCATGAGGCGAGGTATATTTCTTCAAAAGCTTACAAGGGACAGGCGAAGCAAAGCAAAGCATTTTTACTTATCTGCAAAAAATTAATTTGTTTATTGCTTTTTAAGTGCTTCAGAAAAAACATTTATATTTTTTTATGAATAAACTGTTGTGCGTACACCGTTTTTCAAGAATTACGATGCTTGAAAAGTTTTTTACGGAGCGGGGCGGAAGCAAGGAGGAAATCCAAGGAGGAAGGCAAGACGAGAAAAAACTGAACTCAGTGCATCGCTGCAACTCATGCAGATGTCTCTCTTCGCTTTAAGACTACTATAGAAACCATTCCACCATTTGTACAGGATATATTCGAAAACAAGAAAACTTTAAACATTCATTGGTTCGACGGTTGCCAAAAGTATTTTTATACGTGAATTTTACTATTTATTTAACGAAAATATTGATCAATAATACAGACTTCTGACGGTTATCTATTCACTAATGTGAGAAAGAAACTGTTTAAATGATTTTTTCAACCTTGAGGAGGTATAAACATTCTGAAGAATTATTTTGTACTCCATTCTTTGCTTATCTGTACATATGTTCTTCTGTTTTTGTTTGCATTTATAGTCATGCATATTGTCACGTTTTACGAGAGGATTCCCTTCAACGTTTATACAGTTGAGAGATTGTTTACAATTCCATCTTTTGTTCAAATATTTTCTTTTCAAATCCTAAAATAAAGCTAAGTCCTAGATCGAACTTGCTAGAAGATCACAGAAATGTCTTGAAGAAATAATATTAATTTTTTCATCGGACTAAGCTATTCTGTCATTAAGTCTCAGAAAACTACTCGAAAGGATTCCTCAGCAGCTCTTTGGCTAATTTATATGATTATGATGAATCTTTTCAATCCTTTAATTTACTTTTGCACAAGTGATATAAATTAAAACAATAAATAATTTCAAAATCTCGCCGATTGTACAATTATCTGACGATCATGTATATTCGAATTAGAAAATATTGGCGTCGAAGAACATTTATTGTTTAATTTTGTTTTTATATATGAACTGTCTAATGTTACCGGTAGAATTTCTTGCATGACTGTGTGATGGACAACGAGTGTACTTAAATTATCAAATATTTTGCTTGTACCCTAAAGTAAGCAACGACATAGTCTAAGAATGATAAATAAGTTATTTGACTTCTTGTTTTCATAAACATACCTTTATTCGATATCCATTGTCTATATTTTCAATTAAATAATGTTCAACGAAGGTTTTTTCTGTTCGTGGTACTCTCAATGATAACGCATAGGATTTGTTATGTGTATAACTTTTTCTAATAACAAATGCGCCCGGTTCAAATAAGTATAAATATTCTTCACATATATCACGTGATAGACCTTCTTGGAACCATGGTGCTCTCATTAGTAATTCATGATCACTAGAAGAAAAACAAAACATCTAATTGAGTCAAGTACAAAATTACGTTTTCCATTGTATATTTATTAATAACACTATCAAATTCCATTTGTGTATAAAATGAATTGGTCGCGTGCGTCAAAAAAACTTGAATTTTTTGTGAAAAGAATAGTATCTACCACATACACAAAAGAGAAGAAAAGAACGTCTATAAAAAGGATAATACGAGTAATTGAAACACGTATTAGACCAATAAAATATTTTTATTCCAAATATAATTTAAGAGTGCCATAAAAAGGTTTCTGTTCATAAGATAAGAAGCAGGAAAAAGCTAGTCTGTTCAGAATACCGTGTATAGTGCTAATCTCTAATAAAATAAACGATCGAAAAGTCAGTGAAGCTGATATAGGACACTAATGAATTCTTAGTATATTAGTATGAGAGATGGCGTGTAATAAGCGATGAAATTAATCAAATTAAATAAGGATAACTAATGCAAAGATAATTATATATCATCTATCCTTAATTATTTGTGTGATAATATCTTCATGACAGATGCTTTCTTTGTTTTTATTTTTTTTCCCTTATCTCATGTAAACGATTCATTCCATCCACTCACCAAATTTTTATGGATGAATAGAAGAAATACTAACGCGTTTAATAAACTCAGTTTGAGATATAATTAAAATATATACAGCATATGATTATTATTCATTAAACAATAGAAATTAGGATAGGCTACTAGTAGACTATACGTTTGAAATATGATTCAGAACGGATGTTTAGTCATGTGAAAACAGAACGAAAACAAACATATTTTAATTTACAATCAGAGTGCAGTTTCAATTATACATTATTCTATAATTTGTCTTCATTATATACGCTCTCATTCTCCGAGAATAAGTAAAACAAGATTGGTTGATAATGATTCTTAGTCATATCAAATTTTAAAAATCTGTACAAACTCCTCAAACCTTAATATTAGATTTATCTTTCTCTTTTAAATGTCTGAGATGAAATCTTTTCCCGTGTACTGAACTGTGAAATATAGACAAAAATATCCACGCAAAACGTATAGACAAATGAATTTTACTCTCAGCGATATAGACACAAGTTAGAAATTCAATAATAATCACCCAAGCTATACATTTTACATAACATGTCTGATGATCACTCTTTACTAAAATTTGTTAGTGAAATGAATTTGTAAGTACTAATCTAATAAAATAGAACATTCTCGAGTGGCACTGTATTATATCACTATAACAGATCAAGAGAATTATTAAACGTTGATAAGCTTCTCATAGACATATTATACAAGAAGAAAAACACGTACATACATTGATATAGAGATATACAGGACGCCCTTACACTGGGTAGAATAGTGTAAGATCAGGGCTCTAATATCACCTGAAGTCACGAGGTACGGTAGGGCTTTGTTTGACAAATCTGGATGAATTATATCGTAGCTACGACAGTGAAGTCAGTCGCGAACATTATGCTCCTAAGAAGTTTTAAAAAATGATGATGATACATTTATGACTTATATAAAAAAGTAAATAAATGATCATCATGAAAAAAATCTCACAATTTTCAAGGCTCTAAGATCACCTGAAACCATCGGGTAGAGCAGGAATAGGGCTCAAACAATTTGTAGAGCCAGGGACCCAGAAACAGCTAAGCTGCACATCTCTACATTGGCAGTATATATAAAACGTAAATTATATCAATATTTTTTTTGTTTAGAGATCTTTTCGAGGATAGTGATCAATGTTGCACATTTTTACCGAATTTTCTTTAATGTAAAAAAAACGCTTCTCGTCCCATTATTTTAGAAACGCTATGAAACACCGACATATATAGCATATTAAAAAGAAGAAAGATAGATTTAGAACGAAAATTGTAGAGAAACGAATAGTTGTTTAAAATCATTTTAGCGACACTCACACGTATTCGTAAAATCGGGGCAGATAGGTTTCCCATGTGCCATAGGTAAGGATATTAGAACTTTTATCACAGTGTTAGGATTTTATTTTTCACCTGGTATGTTCCTTTCCGAGTTATATACACTACACTGAAATATCGCCTTTAAGCCCCAATGATCTCGCTAATAAAGTTTTTATGTTATATAGTATAATATAACTTAAACATCCGTTTCCAACAAAAACTTACTCAATACGGTTTAAATTGTGTACTGTAGATTGATGATTGATAATATCATTTGTAGTTACATACGGACAATCTGAATATTGAAACGTGTCGTCGGAATCTACAGACAATGATTTCAATGATGATAATGATGAAATCGTATTATTTGATAAATCGTTTAATTTTTTTCGAAATTGTTGTTGTTGTTCTTCTAGATTCCATACACGTTCATAAACTACAATCTGAGAATTATCGTTACATTCATCATAAAAATATTTATGTGAATTTGTTTGTAATGATAATGTTGTTGAAATACGCTCTTGACTACGATAAAATTTATTTAATTTAAAAAAGTTTTTTGTTAATGATTGTTTTGGTTCTAATACATGCGTTTGTGGACAAGATAGTTGTTTTTGTGATATTTTTTTCGATAAATGAAAGCAATTTAACTTCGATGAATTAGATAGTGATGATATTTCATCAAGATCCTCATGATCGGATGTTAGAGAAGAGATACCGGAGGAAGTGGATGAATTGACCGATTGTTCAAACGGTTCGCAAAAGGTTTTGTTCCATAGTGAAGTGTCAATTAATCGATTTTTATACGGTAATATATTAACAGACTTAGACTGAGGAGGCGAATGATTGAAACGAAATGAATGTGTTGTTAGAAATCCGTCCATCATCTTTAAAAGGAGATATCAAAGTAATGAATAATAAATTCAGATGATGAACACATAACGGATCACCTCAAGAAGCGGTATTGAAAGTTTCTTTCAATTGATGCTCAAAACTCGACTCTTTAAAATTATTCGTACATCTGACAACTTGCATCAGAACTTTGTAAAATTTGTCAATCTTGTAACAACTCTATCGAATTCCGCAAGTCAAAAACCGTAATCAAATCAGACAAAGAAGAAATGAGATCGATAAACTTACGTGGTTTATTAATGATAAAGCTTATCTTCCTCTCGCTCTCTATATATGTGCTTGATCAGATGATGTTATAGAGCCACGTATTAATGTATGTTTTGTTTATGCACTTTGATCATCCTATTCTCAAAAATGTGCAAATACTGTTTTATCTGTTTCTCCTCTCTTTTCAAATAATTAAATCAATCAAATAATATTGTCACCTATACCCGAAAATGATGTGCAAAGAAATAATTTAATTTTACACCAACCGTTCAAAAATACGAGAACATTTGTCTCATACTGTTTTCATTTCTTTTCTATACGTAAACATCTAACAAGTGGATATGTGTAGAAAGAAAAAAAAGTCTACTGATTATACTCACTGATGGCACGAGTCTACAGCGTGTCAGAGAAGAAAAAATGAGTTCTTTGAACATGTTGTGTGATCACAATCAATAGAGACATCACTAAATTTAAAAAATAAATGAATAGTGACAGAGAATTGTCTTTTTTTTGTTTTTATTCAAAGTTTAAAAAAAGATTTATTAATAGAAGCTGGAATACACGCTAGATAATTGATCATTGAAGTCATCGAGTCTATAAAATTGTTAATATGAACAACACTTACTTCTCCTCCACTTTACGTGATTGTGAACGAGAAAAAACCTTGAACACTGAAAAAATTAACGTGTACCTAGAGATAACTGCAAAACTGACGTAATATCTTTCCAGAGTTTGTTTCTTTTTCAAAAGGTATAATTCAAAAATGACACAAGCAGTTTGCTATGATATGGTGTATATGTTGATACTTGTTAGTGCAGATACTGTTTGTATGACTATCCATTGATCCTTAGCATCTCCTCACGGAACATTTGTAACGCAAAGGTATAAGCAGGTCCTTTAATAGACACTAAGATGTGATGATATGGAAAGTTTCAGTCGATTTCGGAAAGTTATTCGCTAAAACAGCAAAAAAATTTAGAAATGGAATCTTTCTGAGATTGTCATTTTGTAGAACATATTGAATTATCTATGTTAATGAATTCTTTTGAATTTCGAACGTTTTCTAACAGAATGAGAAATTTGTTGGTTAGAGCGAATATAGAAGTTTTCGTACAGTAACAGCAAAATTTTTTAACGTCGTCATACTTATTTGATTAGATGTCATATAAGAGAAACAAATTAATTTAGTATACTCTACAAAATGACAGTCTTAGAAAGATTTCATTTCTAAATTTTCTTGCTCTTTTAGCGATTTTTCTACTAAAGATTTCCCTGTCATCCACAATGGATATTATATTCGCAACCAGTATGCACAAACTAGTATAACTAAATGTATTTCAACATTTCATAGGATATTGTAGAAAATATTTCGTAGAAATTAATTCACTAACTGTTCTGTACACAATGAGCCAATTTCAAGATTTTTCCGACCAATTGGTAATAATGTAGTCCTTGAGTAATGAAAGCATATCTACTACTACATAGTTTAATGTGAGCATTGTACAGAAAGAAGATACTAAATCATTCACTTTCAATAAATCAGATCTAAATTTTGTCAACTTCTTGTGAAATGTCATTCATATAACAATCATCACATACTCGAGATCCAACTGATATTGTCAGAACATTATAACTACAAGAATAACACACTATTCGTGTACATTTGGAATAATGATAATAGATCAAATTAGGATTATATGGATGTTCACACTTGTAACATCTTTGTTGATTCTCACCAACTGGTTGCATTGGATAGTATGTAGTTGATTGTGATGTCGGACAAATATCATTGATCAAGCATATAATTCCAATCTTAACTGTCGGTCTACCAATTGCTTCCGTGCTGTTTCCTGACTTACCGGCTTTAACATCTTGGACAGTCAGTAAAAGATTGTTCGATGAATATTGCAGATTTCGTTTTCTGCTCATGTTATTCGAATTATTAAAAGGTTCCGAATCATTCAGCTGCTCTCTTTTTATACTCTTACCTTATTTATTTATTGGTCCCTTGTTTGTTGAGAACACTTTCAAAACAAAACTTAAGTTTATTATTACTCAATTAACAGCAGCAGCATTTCATCGATATTATATTGATGCGATACAAAGTTAACATTTTAAAAACCTAACAGTTACATCTGTTTTAAAACGACTATGATACGGCCGTTTTAATACATAGTACATATACCCTGATTGCCCAGGGACTACATTATTACCAATTGGTCGGAAAAATCTTGAAATTGGCTCATTATGTACAGAACAGTTAGTGAATTAATTTCTGTGAAATATTTTCTACAATATCCTATGAAATGTTGTAGGAAATAGGTTTTACTCAAACGTTGAAAACAAGTGTAATTTGAACGGGATGGTTCCGATTAGACACACATTTTACTGTACGATTCCAATTAAGCTCAGTGCATAATATACAACCAAAACGACCCTCTCCTTAGTAAATCTCATTTTGCCCAACCAGATTTAGTAACAAATTTAATTGTTTTCGAATAAAAGTATAAAATCAAACAGAATTATAGAATCAAATGGAATACAATTTGATAAATTCGAATAACAGATGCAAAGCAATTATGACTTGTTTTTATGGCGGTCAATGATAGAAACAGAATGAATGAATTCTTCATTTGTCTTTACTCATCAGACTCGTATATATACTTTTTTTCTGTTTTTCTTTGTTGGTAAAAAAATTGTTCTCAAAATGTGAAAAGGAAAACGAAAACCAGTGGACAGATAAATTTATAATGTAGATAGAATTCATTTGTCTGTTAACATGATAAGTTAAAGAAATAATGATAATTTCTTGTATGTGGGCGGATGTGTTTGGGTTAATTTCAACTATAAGGATGTAAACTACGATCGCTGATAAAATGATGTTAAATTATCTTCACTGCTTTTTCGTTTGAATGATTTTGTTTATATGTGTGTGTGTATGTGTATATGTGTATGCGTTTGTGTGATTGTTGAATCTGAATGGAATAATGTGCTGTAACGAATATTGATTAGAAGTTTAGGAGGCGTCATCATATGTGATTCCAGTAACAAGTATAAATCGCCATGTTTTATTGTCTCATCCAAAAGATCTTTTATATTAATAATCAAATTTTTGAACAAAACATGATCAATTAACATCTATGAAAAAATTTGATAAAAAAGAGAAGTATAAAAAATATATTGGAACTGGAAAAACGCAGAGGTGGCTCTCCTCTCTTTTGTGCATAAAAATCAGTTGCTCTTTGTTATGAAACTGTTAGTGAGGACTTTTTATTTAAAAATTAATTGTTTTCTATAGCCAATTCAAGTTTAGAGATTATTCTTTGTCTGACTGTAATGTGAGCTATGAATCTCTCTTGCTGTACAAGTAGCCGATATAGCCATCGTGCGATACGCGCGGTCGCACGTACCTTTAAGCAAACTACCGATTATTTTTTAAAAGACCTGTCTCAGGATAATTTGTTTCTAAGATGACTGCAATTATTTCACACTTTTATAGTATATCACACGTACCAAAGAAAAATTCGGGGTCCGACACTATGATGTACTCTAAGAATCAAGTTTATCTATGACATTTGGATGCTGTCACTGTTCGAATTAATATACAGTGGTCGAGCAAAATTGAGCGTCCACCTTTGTTTAAGATTTACTTTTTTATTTTTTATTTTGCTTTATCCACTTTTATTTATCCATCTTTATTTTTTATTTTTCTCCTGGACCATAACAGCTAGAACAAATGTGAAAAAAGATTTCAATCTGATGTGATGTATAAAAGTTCTATTGAAACTCCTGAAGCTAGGAACTCTAGAAAACTAAGTTCCCGAATTCTATCAATAGCTTTTTTGAAAATAATTGTAGAGCAAACATTTCTGAACAAAATGAGGCCTCTCGGAGCTCTCTACAACAGTTTTTCATGACATAACATTCAATTTACGAAAGGCCATAAGGGCGTATCTTTCTTGCTTTCCTGTTAATTTTGCTGATTTTGGTGGTATTGGGCCTTTCGTAAATTGAATGTTATGTCATGAAAAAATGCTGTAGAGACCTCCGAGAGGTCTCATTTTGTTCAGAAATGTTTTCTGTACAATTATTTTCAAAAAGAGTATTGATCGAGTTCGGGAACTTGGTTTTCTGAGATTTTGATTTTTCACCGATCCTAGTTGCAGGAGTTTCGATGGAACCTTTATATACACCACATCAAATTGAAAATTCTTTTAGCTGTTTAAATCTTTTTTCGCATTTAATCTAGCTATTATGGTTGAGAAGAAAAATAAAGTCACTGTAAGATGTATCCAACCAAATCCTGTATTCATGAACTTAGGTTTACACCAAACTGAAAATACATATTCGAGTTTTTCTTGAATAAGAATGAATCACTTTTCCTAATTAGACTAGAAGCATTAATTATGAAGAGAACAATAGTAATTATTTTTGTGGTCGATAAAGTATTTCCTTCAACTGTTTTTGTCACTATTTGCTATAACTGATCTAATAATATATATGTAGTAATATCTTTGCTCAACTCTCCTTTCTATCTGGTTGATGGAGCAAGTGATCACGTTTTGAGGGTTTACACGATTTACTTTCCGTTGATTGATTACATAGACATATATCCCAATTAGCCACTTTCTTATATAAGGATTTACTTTTCACTGATTATTTGGACGAAAAGCAATGAATGAGCAAATGAATATTCATTGCGACAACGAATAAATTTCCAAGCAGAACAAACATTCATCAATAGGGGAACAATGAACTTAATTTTTAATTGGGAACCAGCAGTGTTCAATAACTCTGGATACTGAATAATGAGAAATGCTGAGAAACTCAATGATTATACATATGAAGCGGAAATCGACTGAATGGTCCATATGTATTATGATAATAATCAATAAATTCTTGAATACCTGGATAGTCTGGTCGAGTACGAATTAGGCACTACAAATCCCATAACATATGTTTTAATGGTAATAACGATAATGCTGCAAAAGATCTGAACCAATCGCGAATGTTTTCGTCATCTTTGTATTATGTTTTTAAACCAAGATCAAAGAATTTACGATATAGACTTTGCCCATAATGAAATAAACAACCTCTAACAATACGCAAAAACGAGCGAACGAGTACCACCAAGTGAACCATCGTATAACAAAAATAACTCACCTTTTGTTTTAGAAAAATGTCCGAATCCCAGTCGGTTATCAGGTTATGAACGATTACAATTGATTTTGAATTAGGTGTTTCCAATGTATTTAAACAGTTAAATAATAGAAACGCGTTTCGTATATCGTTTAAACGGCTAAAAATGCGTTTCTATTATTCCATCGTTTTGCACGTGTTGGGACAAACGAGAAAATAACCTCATGGGTTAAATCACAGAATAAAATAAAATCTTGGATGATAATATTTAAATGAGAATAAAACAACTTGCTAAAAAAACTGATTTCTTGATAAAATCTCTATGTAGATTATCGGGAGCAAATCGTTAGAGCGTGAATCATGCTGAGACTTTTATACTGTCCCAGAAAAGGAGTTCACTTCAAGCAAAACTTATAGATTCGGAGCCAGCACTGAAAGTTAAAAAACCAAAATCTTTTCATCCTTTACCGTAAATCTTTTTCTTATGCAAGTGTGTCCTTGATAATTCTGAGTCCTTATGAAACATACCAAGAAAAATAGAACTGTTTCATTCAATTTTTCTATGAAAATTTTTTTTTATCGATTTTAAATTTTTTTTTTTTAAGCAAAGGTGGATATGTCTGTGTGCTGAAAAACATGATTCAAGATGAAATATTTTTCGCTTAAAAATCAAAACTTTCGAATAACAGAGGGATATGTTAATTTGTTTGAAATGATCAAATTGACTAGTGAATCAGTAGAATATAGTATTTAGGTAGTACGATATTCAGAGGTTTTTTAAAATAATTTCAATAAAAAATATCATAAGTGAAGATGTTACTGTGGACAACCACTAATTTGAGAACTGTATACAGTTCTTAATACAGCTGATATACTCAGATTAAGTTGAAAAACATAGCATCATAAGTTGCAAAATATTGATAAAAAAAGTTAGTATTTTGTTCTTCGATCATATACGCTTTTTTATACAATTGTTTTTTCTTTTTTTCTTTCTTGTAATGCGACACGACGCATTATAGACTATGTACTTACGTACATTTTTGTTAAAAAAAAACAAAATTATTTGACAACATCGTGTTCTTTTTTCGGTATTTCTCTCCGCTTCTTTTATTACTCATTCTACACAATATTTCCTGCTATAAGAAAAAAAGAGCTAGTCTCGTTTCTCTATTTCCATGTGCTGGAAATGCCTATCAGATTTTCTCTCATAAAAGAACAAAACAAAAACATGCATCATCAACATCAACCTAGAATACAATTATAAACTCAATAAAAATGTCGGTAAGTAAAAAAACACAATAAATGATTAGCCTTATTTTTATTCAAAGAATCATAAATACAATGTGTTTTGTAGGAAGGGTAGGAAGGGAAGAAAGCATTTTCACAGCATTAAAAACTCCAGAAACAGTTGTATCACAAAATTAGGCTTCAATCGTCATACAACTGGATTATTTTTTATGTTACTAAGTGAAGCTAAAAGTAGAGAGATACGAATTGAACGCAAATAGGCGTTTACAGCAATGAGTCACTCGTGTTTCATTTCACTGTCAAAAAGTTTATCACCTCTCGTCTTCTTCTAAGAGAAAGAACATCAGAGCACTCGCTTCTACGATACCAATATCAATTGTGAATACGTTATTGTATGTTTTGTCAATAGCGTCAATTTCTTATATGATTTATAATGGATTACAATATCGAAATTATTATGTCGATTCAAACATTGTCCAGTTGCCTAGTTGGTACATTGGGTCAATACATTTATCAATATTATTTTCATTCATATGTGACAAATTCAACTATAACACCGACTTTTCATACAATACAACAGCAGTTATGTCCTAATAATGTTAATTCATCATCAGATGCTCAACAATGGGCACAACAGCAATCATCAAATTTATTTTTTTGGCAAAATTTAGCGAGTAGTTTGCCAGGTATGTTGTGTTTTCCTCGAACGAAAAATAGTAATTTGTCGCTTTTTCATTATTTTAGTTATTATAATGACCTATTTATTGGGTATCTATACAAGTAAATTAGGAAAAAAAATTGTTTTGATATTACCAATATTAGGAACGGTGATACAATTGAGTATATGGTTAGCCATTATTTATTTTAATCTTAAAGAATATTGGTGGTTAATTGCTGCTTTCATTCAAGGTCTATCGGGTAGTGGAGGGGTGTTTGGATTTATAATTACTCTTATTATCACCGATACTACACTGGAGAATGATCGATCAGCGAGGTTTGTTAGATTAGGTGCCATGTGTACACTCATTGCGGCAATAGCCAGTTTAGGTGAATTACCTAATGAACATTGATTTTTTGTTACTCAATACCTCGATTTCTTTAGGAATTGGCTATTGGATTGAATGGAGAGGATTCGTGGATCTATATTGGATAGCATTAGCTCTACAGATATTGTGCCTTATTATTGTTCTCTTATTCATCAATAACAACAACAGCCCAGTAATAATAACAATAACGTCTATTGATTCTGTTGAAGAAACAACAACGCCATGTTGTCGATGCAATCATCTATATGATGTCTGTACAGTATTCCGTCCAAATCGTTCTTCGCGAAAAAAATCAATAAGTTTACTTTTGACATTATTTGCCCACATATTTCATTCTCTTGCGAGTTTATCGTTTACTGTTCCTTTTTTATTTTTTCTATTAAATTCACCATTTTGTTGGTCATCAAAAAATATCGGAATTTATAGTACTGCAAGTGCTCTTGTATCTAGTGTGCTAAGAGTTGTTGGAATGAAACTTTTACAATATATGGGGTCAAACGACCCATTAATTTGTGCTATAAGCCATATATTTTTGATTATATCAGCATTATGGACATCGTTTGCAAAACACAGTTGGGAGTTATATGTTGGTGAGTAAAATTATGTTGCACAATTATATTTACGTTTCATTCATCTATCTATTTCTATTTATTTTAGGTATTTTAATCAGTCCATTTACGAGTTATCAAGCTAGTTTGACATATTCAATGCTATCAAAATGGCTTGAACCCCATGAAACGGCTAATACATTTGCACTCGTAACAGAAATCAGTACAATAATATCAGCATTTGGAACTTCGTTCTTCAATTTTGTTTATTCAAAAACCATACCTTATTCAAGAAATTTTACTATGTTGTTAGCTGGTGGTCTCGCCATTATTCCATTGATACTAAACATGTAAATATGAAACGAACTGTTCTTGTCCCATTATATATCTATTTGTCGTTTTAGTTGTTTGTATATCATCACACGCAATCTACCAGATACCCAGACGGATATCGCCACAGAAACAACCCCGTTATTATTGCCCGATCATATGTTGGTGAGAGGTATTGATCCAACATTTAATATTATATCCGCATCGAGTTCACTTACAAATTCCCTAAGAACGCCCACATTAAGATCTCGTTCAAACTCTGCTGGTAGTGCTCTCGAATACTCTACGGAAACCGAGCCTCTACTTAAAGTATAAGTTCAATTTTCCATTTGTAAATAAAACGCTGTTTTTGTGAATTTTATGAATTTGATAACTCTAAAGCTAGCACATTTCTTTACTTCGACATTCAACGATATACCGACAGAAATAGAAAAATATTATTTTTTTATATATTTTGTTACACATATTGTTTATTTTTATTATTTAAGCTGTGGGATACTTTAAACTTTGTAATAGAAAAATTCATTGAATAAAACAATGATTATGCAAAAATATATTTTTACTAAAAAGATTGAACAAACTATAACTGTCCAGATTTTTGTAACAATTGTTGTTTTTGTTCACTAACTGTTGAATCATAACCGTCTAAATCCATAGTGAAATTAGCTTGACCGCTCGCTAATGATCTCAATGATGAACTATAACCAATTAGTTCTGATAATGGTGTACGTGTTAAAATTGTTGACATCTCATTTTTATTGCCTTGATTCACGTCTAAAAATTCACTTTTACGTCTAGCTAAATCATTGAGAACTGATTGGGTACGATCAGCAGCACATGACACCTAAAGTTAGAACACAAAAGATAAAAGATATAGCAGCTCTATTATAGTTTATGGGTCACAAGTGCTCGAAAGTATACTCCACCTAGCGAAATATGAATATATATAAAAACGTTTTTGAGGTGTCTGTCTTATAGGACTCGGTGAGCTGATCATTTTTCATAGTCGACGCCCACCGTGTCACTGTAACCCTATGAAAATGGATGCGATTTTTAAATTCAATTTTTTGACATCCGACCACTCATATTTGTGACCTTGTAATCTACCTTGAACAGATGCTTAGATCATGTGTAACATATGTAAAGAAACCATTTTAAATTCTCTACAAACTGACGATGTCAGAATTCTGACATTGTTCTTGGTTGTTAAGAAGCAGAGGCCGATAGTGACCCGATGTTAAATCATACCGTTCAACTGTATGTATGCATTTTTCTCAGTTTTCTAGAGCTCACAAATACTTTCTAATAGGGTGTCAATTGTTTTGATCACCAAACGCTTTTAGATACAAATGATCACCAAAGAAAGATACTTTTGATCACCAAATTTTCCAGCATCACATTTTTATACATATAAACATATAAATTTTAACAAAGACAATATTTTCAC